CACATTATCATCCTCAGGATAATGTTTTGTCAGGTCTCGCTGCTCTTCTGAAGTAATTCAAAACTTGCTTTTTGTGGGGCGGTTAAAAAAAATCCTGCTGTCGTGATGTGCGTTTGACAGGATGGACTGTACCTCACATTTATTTCATACAGATTACAAAACCAAAAATCTCGTTTTCAAGTGCACTTGGTTCATTTAAAAGTACAGATTTTAAGCTTTTGTGGATATATTTCGCAAGTATTCGTTGACATTCCAGTGGTCTGAGCTTCTGCCCCAGAGAAGCATCAGTCTATAGTGATCGATGATTGGCTCTTGTACTAGTAGGCGGGGCTTCATTCACCATATTGACTGTTACACTTTTCCCCATTCAAAACTATACAAGTGAAATGTCTTGTGTATTGTAGAGCCTTTGGCTATACTTAAATTGTATTATTATAAAATTTCTGAGTTGTTCAAGTCCCATAGGTTACACCACTGGCCCTGATAAAGCTTGATGCGTCATTTCTTTTCTAAACAATTACACAATGCTGTTTTTCAATCCAGCCCCACAATTGGCAGAATTAGTGTCAGGGTGTCAGTGAAGCTCGCAAAATCTGTTTAAAGACTTGAGTGTCATCCACACCACGCCATGAAAGATTTGCTTGTTCTGTCTAGCCATGATAATTACAATGAAGCAGTGTTTCACGTGAAGAATGACACCATCCCTCGCAGCTGCTTTAGAAAGCCACCATCACTATAGCCTCCACCAGCAGTAGGACTGAAGTCTGATTTTAAACTGTAATTGATATTCTAGCGACACACTCTGAAGTGAGTAGAAGCTGCTTGTTTGCGAGCTCCGCTTGGTTTTGTTGTTCACATTGTGACATCTCAGGGACTAGTGCTATAGATGTTCTGCTGATGAATCCAAGACCAAAGCGCAAACGACCAAATACAAATGTTTGAAGTAAATACTAGAATATTATATTTACCCCCCCACACCCAAAAGCAAGAGCTGCCCTAGATTTGTCTGTCAAAGCTTGAGCATGACTGCAACTTTAACACACACACACACACACACACACACAAAATGGGGACCATCATCGCACATCTGAATTATGTATCACGACCCGCTAATAGGAAGTACTTCCCTCCATTTCAACCGGTTGGAAATTGGCACGGCTGCCCCCTGACTTTTCGATTGGGGTTTTAGAAAAAATCCCAACTGATGCCTTTTCTCCATTCAGAAGATCACACAGAAGCCGGAAGCGTCAGGAAAATACGCTAAAGTGATTTAAACCGGGGATTTAAAATGGATGTCTGACTCTCGCCGTCTTGAAATATGGCAAAAATAAATAAATAAACACACAGAAATGTTACTAACACGCACACCAAAAAGAAACAGAGTTTCTTATTGTAAAACACACATCACAAACTTGCTCTCTCACACACACACAGACACCCGAGGGCAACGAAAACAATAAAAAACATTGGTGTAAACGGAGAAGCTTATAAAAGCTAGAATGGCCATTCCCATAGCTCTCATATACTCGCACACAGACCCATGGTTAAGCCAAAACCCGCAACACCACATTCTCTGGTGCTCTTTGCATAAGTCCTAACCAGCTGGTGGGCAGGGTCTTTCTCTGCAAAGCGTGTTTATGAGAGAGCGGAGATCCGTCGGCTCGATGTGTATGAGTGTGTGTTTCGGGCCCTGTGACTCAGATACCGCAGTGCTACGAGGGAGAGAGAGCGGGCTCCTGTCTTCCTACCTTTGTCACAGCATTCGCATGCTTCGCAAAGACTCGGAGATATCTGAGGTTGCAGGCTAGGTGAAGATCATGAGATGTGTGATATGTTATAACAGTCTCTGCCCTGTCCTACCACCAGTCTGCTTGGCAATACTTCCTTGTGAGTTGCTTTGGAAAGAAAGCATATGCCTTGAGCACAAATGTAATACGATTACAGTCTGGTACACACATATGAACACACACACAAGCAGATGTGTATGTTAATCACCCGCCAAGCAAATGAACATATGCAAATGCTGCCGTGAATATGGTAATTTTGAGTGTAGGGGACGATGTGCCTATGGAAGATCAATGATAGGGACGTTTCGATGACTGCTACTCAAGGTTCATGAATGTCAACGTTAAGGAGCTTTATTGATATGCAGTGTGCTGTGAAAATGCTAATTTGCGATTTAAGAACGCGGTTATGCCCTCATAAATGGCGTCCTATACTGTCTCAGTCCTCACATTTGCATTGGAGACCTGAACGCTGTGATGGAGGTGGAGGTTGGAGGAGGGGGGGACTGTCGCAGCAGCAACAGTTGCCAGGGAAACCTCACCATAGGAACCTGTTGGGACGCTGTGCTAGAGTATGGGTGCGCCAATATGTCGGATGACACGGTGGTGTGCTCACGTGTGGATATTTGTACGTGTTGTGGGCTAACAAGGTTTGACAAACACAGGCACAGGGACCCACAAAGATGGCACCCTGGCTCTGACAGTGTTTGGCACATTAGTGCGAAGGCGTGTTGCTGTGGCAACAGGGTGTTGACATGGCACAGTCGCACTTCTCGGCACTGATAATGGGTGACATTCTGAGAACAGGCATGTATCAGAAACCCGGTCTCTCTTTTTCCTCTCTCTCTCATATCTATTTCTCTGCAGAGAAGAACTCTACCACCAGCCAAATCACATTCTGTCTGCATCTCGGGAGAACTGTCACAAAGCTTACGCTCTAAGGGGTTACATACAGTGGTACCTCAAATACATGAGAAACAGAAAAACTGAACAAATCAATGCCACCAAGTTTCACAATTTCAGTTGCCATTTTGTGTGCCATATATATGTGTGTATATATATTTTTTTTTAAATTTCGAAGTGACTTCTGCTAACAGAACATTTTTCATAATTATAACGTGTAATATTAGCTAATTATAATAACAATAACAATATTACAATTAAGATAACACTTGATTTTGAAAAAGAAACAAAAAGAAACTAGGTAAAAACAAATAATGAAAGACACTTATTATCATAATAGATTTGTTTTAAAAGAGCTCTATAAGTTTCTATAGTTTCATTTATTTGTCCATTTTCGTTTTTTTAAAAAAGCTTTCCAAACTCCAATCTTGCTCACTGAGTGGGTTTTCTCTTACCTTTCAAAAGGTCCTCTGTTCGCTTTTCTCAAACAGTAGTTTCGTCCACATGTCTGGACAAAGTGTTCGCAATAATCCATTTTACCCCTGCAGTATTCACCAGAGTTTGTGTTCTGTTCTGAATCTTGTTAAATCACAATGGCAAAAAAGCAGGGTCCTGGTAAAGTTTCGTCTTGTACAAAACAGGGGACAGGCCATTTAGGGGGCCATTTTAAGGCCCATCTATTTCCGTGTTTGGAGTTGTTGTGGCTTCATAGTGCTTCAAGCAAGTCGTTGTCAGTACGTCCACTGTTATTCCAGCTTTTCTGAGGGGATTATTAGCAGTAGTGACAATCATTTTTACACAATGAAAACAAACATCACCTCTAGGTAAAACAAAGAAACACACCAAATCCGCTATGCTTTTGACACTTGATGTTTTGTCAATAATGATGATAGCAGAGGTAATGTAATGTCAACAAGAGCCTCTTTTTACTCTGATTTCAATAAAAATGTCCCACTAAAATACTCTTTCTCAGAATAGCAGCATGTAGATCAACTTTTACAGTGTTTTTTTCCCTTCATTGCATTACATAGTATCATCATTATTGTCTTCTGTTGATAATGGTGATAACCAATCGACCCAATTTGGATCCTATAGGCCAGTGGATTTAGACAGTATTGTGTATATATAATGCAAATTAAAGTAACCTCTCCTCATTTACCCTGTTAGGTATAGAAAAGGGGAACCTTGTAACACTTATAAAACAAAGCCAAATGATCTGAAATTAAACATATTTTCCACAAATCCATCCCTGTCCCTCAGTCTCCTCAGGATGCCCTTAAGTCCCATGAGGACGTACCAGTTTCAGGCGCATTTTTGTTTTTATGGAGAGAAAGGAGTTTTCAATGACAGAGCTACAGCAGCAGCTGCTAATTCTTCAAAAGCCGTGGCTTTCAGTCAGAAAAAAATGCAAATATTCTTCATAATTTATTTCTCTGAATGAAAATATATTTATATATCATGTATACTTTCATAGTTTATATATTCTTTTAAAATTTGTATAACTTTCACTTGTCTTTTTGCGCTTTAGGTTCTTGTTTGTTTTTCCTCTCTTCCCCTCCACCGTGAAAGCCTTGGAGAAAGGGGAGAGACTGTGTCCGTCATCATCTTGAAACACAAGCCCTCTACACAGTGCTGGTCTACTAATCCATCTTTCCATCATAGTACTACAAAATCGTAATGATGCATTTTGTTATCGGAGTTTCTCTAAACCATCTGCACAAGTGGTCTTCCGTTCTCAACCACTGTCCATATACCTAAGGTTTCCATGTATTTCTATATACACTTCCTACCTAATGGTGCATATGATTTTCATTTTAGTAGCATCTCTGCCTTATTGGTGGAGTTCTGTATGTGATGTGATGTACACACAGGTCTTTTCATCTTCTGAAATATGTCTGTACATATGCGTAGTGATGCTGATGTGCAAAGATTTTGCTTTGGCACAGATTGGTGCAGTTTTGGCACGTAATTATCAATCTTGCATTGCACGAAAAAAACTATCGATTTATATTTTGTTGGCAGGTGTAGTTTTGTTTGCTGATGTTTGATGATCCCCCTTGATGCGTGCGGGGCAGAGTATGGCAAGACTGATTTTAAACTCTGGTTTGGTTGCCTGTGTTCCTTCTAGAAATACTCCCACTCTTTGCCAGCATATGTACTTTGTAGTGATTTCACAGCTGTATTCTTGTGTAGGTAATATTTCATACAATGCTGGGTCTGCCTTTCTCATTACTCCTGAGAACATACCCATAGGGGTTGAACAGCCAATACCCTTCATCTGTTTCTGTCTCCCTGATATTCTTTCTCCATTTCTTATATGCACATTTAACTTTCTCCCCCTCTCCCTTCCTCACTTTCTCAACTTCAGATCTGGGTTTCTTGGACATTCTCCTTGGAGCCACTCTTGAAGAGCAATGGCTCAATCTGTGGGTTCTGCCCTTTACCCATCAGGCCTTTCAGTGACCCGTGGATGCCAAGGGTTGGCAGAGGCATTGGAGAAGGTATGGAGCATGATGTACTTCCTGCAGAGACTGGCACCTGCGTGCAAGAGATGGGTGTCTGGACCTGGGAGCAGGGTGAAGGGTTGTTGTTATTATTTAGGCCTCCACCAAGGCCCAGACCCATCATGTTATTGTTGAAGTGATGGGGCTTGTAGTAATGATTAAGATGGTCTGCTCGTGCAAGGTTGGGGAGGTTGACAATTTCAGGATGGTGCAGCCGCAAACTCTGTCCGCCTCCTCCAGACCCTATTTGGGGTACTGTGGATCCTCCTGAGATGCCGCTGCCACGCAGGCCCGTTCCAGCTCCAATCTCATCTTCAACATTAATGATTTCAATGGCTCGTGCCGGCCCATGATGTTTGTGCAACTGGTGCTGCTTTCTCAGCTTGTAGAACACCACCAACATGACAGCAGCCATGAAGGTAATGGCCACAAAACAACCAATGATGATCTTGGTCGTTTTCATCACGTCATCCAGTCCAGAGGGGTAACTGGGCTCAGAAATGGGGACTGTGAATGTGGGTTTGGTTGCTCGAGGAGAAGACGATGAGCCAAAGATTGAGAGAGAAGAGGCAGTTGTGGGAACAACTTCATGCCAGAGATGCCCAGAAGGGGTCGGACCAGGAATATGGATGAAAGTCTCGTTAAAGGTACGCAAGGCAGAATCTTCCTCTCCTGTAGTCTCCACTGTTTCTACTGTGACTGTGGTGAAGTAGGTGTAGTTGACACTAACGTCTGCTGCGGTCACATTCAGGACAGCAGTTGCCGTAGTGTTCCCAGCTGAGTTGGTCACCATGCAGGTGTATTGTCCAGTGTCACGCAGTGTAACATTGGTGAAATTCAATGTGCCATCATGCAGCACTGAAATCCTGACACGATAGGAGCCATGGGTCATTAGGGTGCCATTTGGTGTGATCCAATTCACAGAGGTCATAGACGTACCAGTGCGACACTTGAGCTCGGCAGCCATGCCCTCCGTTACATTGAGGTCGGTGGGTGGCTCCACAATGACAGGGGCATAGCAAGTGAAATGGCTCTGGTCCAATTCCCCAATGTATTTTCCCTTCAGGTAGGGGGGTGCATGGCATCGTGCACAACAAGTTGTGTTGCTCGGCACAGTTTCTTTTAGCCACCAGCTTAGCCACAGCACATCGCAGTTGCAAACCCATGGGTTGTGGTTAAGGTGCACTCGCTCCAGCTTTTGAAGTGGAGTGAAAAGGTCATGGGGCAAAGAGTGCAGGGAATTGTGAGATAAGTTGAGCTCCTCAAGATTCTTGAGATCATCGAAAGCATTACGCTCAATGACTGACATCTGAGAGTGCATGAGCCATAGCTTGCGCAAAGATTCCAGGCCTTGGAAAGATCCTGGTCTGATGATTTCCAGTCTGTTCCCAGACAACTCTAGCTCCTCCAGTCGCACCAGGGGAGTCAAGTTAGGGATGTCCTTCAGGCCACACATACCCAAGTTCAGGTAGCGCAGATTGATGAGTCCAACAAAGGCTGCGTCAGATATATAATCCAGCTTCTTGAGTTCTCCGAGGTCAAGACGCCGCAGCGAGGGAACGCGGTGAAATGCGTAGCCTGGTAAGGTCTCGATGGGATTGTTTCGTAACCACAGTTCCCGCAGCTTGCTAAGGTACTCAAAAGCTTGCGATGGCACCAGCGTGAGGCGGTTGTCAAACAGTTCCAGAGTGTTGAGGTTTGGAAGGCCATTGAATGCACCAACCTCTATCTGTCGAATCTGGTTCTTGGAGAGCTGGAGGATCTCCAGATGCCGCAAATGCTTGAATGTGTCTGATTTTATCACCTAAGTGAGAAAATTACAGGTACAAGTTTAGGATTAGAGTAATGTGTGATAACTTTGTTCCTGTGAAGGAATAATATCTTAGAAAATATCAAGTCATACACAAGTTGAAAAAAGTACATCAAATACTGACTGTTGTGATTTTCAGATAAAATGTTTTGCAAGTTGTCACTCGTAATGTTTGAAGTAACACACATTAAAGGGATAGTTCACCCAAAAATAAACAATGTCATCGTTTACACAACCTCATGTTGTTCCAAAACCGTATGCTGTTATTTTTAATCCATAAAGCACAAAAGCCAATTTTTGAAAAATCTGTTTCTTTCTGTTCTTGTTAACCATTTCTTCAATGCTTAAAAAATAGGAAGAAAATACAACATTGTAACATCGCATTAAAATGAAGCCATATAACAGCTTTGAGCAAGGAACAGAATATCATTTAAGTTGCTGTTCACGGCAAATCTTCCCCTCCGCTGCAGCACTCAAATGTAATTCGACACATTTGAACTGGCATTTGAACCATGTTCAGTTCTGACAAGCAAGAACGAATTCTGTTTGGTTTTAAACTTGCAGGGCATTGTTGCACGATTCTTGAAAGGGAACATTATGAATAATGAAATAAGTTTTAGTTCTTTTGCAGTCATCATATGGCTTCAGAAGACCTGCAGTACAGCACGGGTTGCTTTACTTTAATGATGTTTTTTTTTTTTGGAACTTAGAGCAAAAGATCAATATCAACTGTATAGAAAATAACTACATGAGGTTTCACCACACAGCTGCATGAGGATTCATGCACACAACATACACCACTTATCATCTTGCATGCATGTCTTTAACAATCAATTTATCAATCAATCAATAAATATTAATATTCAGTTTTATACAATCTCACATTATAATTTGTCCTGTTAATTATTGTCAAAATTATGTTAATTGTTAATGTGACTGTTTTGGTAAAATGAATGTTTGAGATTTCAAGAATATTGGTGTTGCAGTTCTTTCTTAAGCATTACTTTAAAAAAAATCTTATTTCTGACTAATTAACCGCAGAAGCAGATGTCAAAAAAAGCATGTTGTGCTCCTCAAGTGCTTGGCCCTAAAATGACTGTATGTGGCTATTTTGTCAATTGCAATACTCAATACCTAATATTGTCTCCTTGCTAAGAGTGCAGCTCCAGCTACTAGGTCTAGATTTTTTTTTACCAGTTCTCTTTGTTTAGGAGCATCTAAAATAAATTGACAACACACTTTTATTTTAATATTATGTTTAACATATACCATTGCTAAACATTGTCAATTAATTAGTTCATTCATTTTCTTTACACAAAATAAGATAGTTTGAAGAACACTGGTATCCAGAAGCCACTGAAATTTATAGTAGGAAAAAAATATGTATATAATTGGCAACCAGTTTCCAACATTTTTCAAAATATATAAACAGAAGAAATGAGCCTTTGATGGGTTTTGAAACCATCTCAACATAAACATTGTTTTTTGTAACCCTTTAACTGACTGCTTTACCAAATGGTTGACCATATTTTGACTGTTTTAAATAATAACTGTTAAATGACTGTTTAAATAATGGTTTACACCAGTGGTGTAATTCAGCACAGTTTAGCTCCAACTTCCTTTAACACACCTGCCAGGAAGTTTCTAGAGCCAGAAAGATCTTGATTAGCTGGTTCAGGTGTGTTATTTGGGTTTGGAACTAAAATATGCAGGACAACGGCCCTCCAGGACCGAGCTGACACCCCTGGTTTACATAGACAGCATTGTCGTTTTACAAAAAAAAAAAAAAAAAAAACACATTATCCTGTTGCTGTACTACACTTAAATTTGGTTTTACTGTAAAAAAAAACTACAACAACAACACATTAAATGAGAATCTGAAATATTTTATGACATACTTTAAAAAAAAAAAGATTATTTAGTATTCAAAAATGTTTTATTCTGATTATTTTTATGGTCTTACATTATTACACATTTTCAGATTTTTCATAGTACAGGAATTTATTCCAGTACTTTTACCATAAACCCGCATATCTACCATTTGGTAGAGGCTGAAATTTTAGAAATTATGGGATGTGTTGCAAAATACAGCATTGAGTGTGTTAACTAGCGACATTAGGAGTTAAGAAATGCAATCTTTTTTTTTTTCCCTTAATCTTTTTTTCTTCATTTAGCACTTATTTAAACAATGAAACAAATCTATATTTTATTTATTTTATTTATTTATTTAAATGTGTAAAAATTCCAGAAATAAAAAAATTAGGACATCATTTTTAACTAGTATACTAGTTTTAAAGAAACACTCCAGTTTTTTTTATTTTACTTTTTTTATTTTATTTTTTTAGGAAAAAAGGTTCATTTAATTTTGAGATTATAAAAATAATTTAATTTGATCATTTTTTAAAAATTCAGCCGATCTCCAGGTCTGGCAGTAGTACTTTTAGCTTGGCATAACATAAATCATTAAATCGGATTAGACATTAGACCATAAGCATTTGCTCAAAAAAAAAGAAAAAAAAAAAAGAGTTTTGATAATTTTTTCTATTTAAAGCTTGACTATTCTGTAGTTACATTGTGTATTTAGATCAACAGAACATCAACAGTTGTTATTTTCTAAGCCGGGGGTTTCCAAACTACCCCTAAAATAATGCCAGTGACTCGCAACCCCCGAAATTCATCTTGGGTGATTATAAATATACAAATGTTGCACACACAACAATAGGCCTATATAAACACAAGCATATTGACAACACAAAAAGTGCAATAGTCTTAACAACCATATCATTTTTATAGTCAATTATTAATTTGTTTAATTTAATATTAACCTCAACTAAACAGACTGGTGGACACAATGCTTTCAGCACAAGTCTATTCTTGGTTTAATTTTGGAGGCTGCTAATCAGAGATCATTCTCAATGTTCAGTTGTGGCCTGTATTCATTTTGAATGTATTTGATTGCCATAAAGGTGTCAGACAGTTTACCCTGGTGCTATGAAATCAGTCTGCTGCAGCTGATGCTATTGCTTTGTTGTTAATATGACATAAACACAGCGATCCTATTAAAAATAATTTTAAGGCTGATGGGTTTTCATTTGCATATTGTTGTTTTTTTATTATCTGTGGGTTATGGCTAAAATATTGTAGTTTAATAAAATTAAGTTAAATTTTGGAAATCACAAAGCGACCCCCTGTCATTGTCCCGCGACCCCCGCTTTGGGAACCACTGTTCTAGGCTGATATGACAAGGTTATTGCTCCAGAATGAGACTATAGTTTCAAGGCAAACATATTACATGATGTAAGAGTCAAGCTTTAAATGGGAAAATTCTTGAAACTTTTCAGTCATTTGTGAGTGAGATGCTAATGGTAATGATCTGATTTAAAGAATTATGCTAAGCTAAGATTAAAGTGCTCCTGCTTGACCCAGAGAATGGATTTAAAAATGGTAAAACTTTACTGTTTAACTGTAAATGATGAGAGAATTTTTCTGTTTGGGTGAACCATCCCTTCAGTAACCCAACACAATTAGGGCTACATGTGTGAATTTCTCTAATTAGAGATGGAAGCACGTCAACTTCACTTAACCAAAGAACAACAACAACAACAACAAAAAACTGTCAGATTATAATAATGCACTAACCAGGCTGGAAATATAAATAAATAACTGAAAAGACTAGAGAATATTGACACTTCCTAAACAGGACGGGCTTTGAAAGTGTTTGTCTCTGTGCATCTGATGCCGCCAGAACTGCTTTTCTTGGGCAGCGAGAAGCTTCCTCCTGGCCTACTGCCACAATCCCCTCTGTATATGGAGCAGGGGAGGGAGGAGGGTGCTAAACACACAGGGTTGGGGGTGTTGAAGAGGAGGGTGGAAACTGTCAGAGCTGCACTCTTGTGGTAAAATGCTACGGGAGAGAATGAAGCCAAAGAATCTAGGATGCCTTCAGGTATTAAAACATTTTTAGATTTTTAATCATTTCAAGTGGGGCTCGAGGACACAACAAACCAAATCAGAATGTTCAATGCTTAAGTAGAGGCTTGTTGAACAGCATTATTATTATTATTATTATTTTTTTTTTAATAAGCTAGTTTTTGGTTAACACTTTCAGTGTCAGGATTAGCCGGGTATTTACTGTTATCTTCATCTTGAGAATAAATCTAAATCTTCTCACACAAAGTAGGTCATTTTAACACCTGACTCCACACTGAATCCTAAATATTTGAGCAAGGCTGAGCCATTAGCGCTAAGTGTTCAAGCAACATTAGTGAAACTGACAGTCGATAAAGCTAAGAAACAAACAAACACAAGGCTCCAGACTAACAATCGAGAGTACTGGTGCTAGTGGCACCAACATATGATTCAGAAGGGCTGATTGTCATATTAATAATAATATGAATAAAGTTTGTATGGAAGGATTTAGAGTTCTTAAACTGATCTGTAAAAAATGGTAAAAAAAAATCTTATCTTTACATTTATATCTTATACATTTGCAGATCATGATGATGTAATGTACTGTATAACATTTACTACACTGTAAAACCCAACAGAGTGTAGTCAATTTACTAAAAAGTAAATTCTACTCATTTGAAATTAGTTTTGAACTCATTAAAAACCTCATTACTTCAACTTAAATGGCGTAAGTTCACAGTACTCGTATAGATCAGTTTTTTTAACTCAAATGGTTTGTAGCAATCGGTTTCCACAAATGGTTGCCTTAACTTATTGAGTTTTACAGTACTCAACTGGCTTGAGTTCTCCATTTATGGGGTTTTACTGTGCTCAAATTGCTTCATTCACTCATTTGGATTAAGTTCACAGTACTCATTAGGATTAGTTTTTGAACCTCAAAGCTATTGTTTTAATCCGTTTTCTCAAATAGTTTGAGTTACCTTCACATTTTTTACTGTGGTACACTGTAAAACCCAAAAAGTTGTCTAATTTTACGTTTTTCAAACCAAAAGAACTATAAAGACTTTTAGTCTATATAAAATATAGTCTGTATCAAATATAAATGCCAACTAATATGACTTATTAACAGAAGAAATATCTGAAATGTCCATGTCAGCTTCCCTCATTCACTTTAAAATGGCAATGGGGATTCCCCCAAGGGAACAAGGAAAGGGAAGCTCTACAAGTGGAGTGAAACACAGCCACTGTGGCTATGTTAACATGCACCCATTTTCATCAATCTGAACTAATTGAATCTGATTGCAGTCTGTTTGCATGTACTCTAAATGTAATCTGATTACAATATCCTTTTATTTGTGTGTTATATACATTGTTTAAAACTTGTACTGTTTGGATATAGCATAATTTAAAAAACTTGTATTGTTTTTGTATTTTTTAAGCAGGCTACATGTGTCTCTTAGTTTTAATTTCAAAAGTTCGTTCCCCAGACAGGGTGATCTTCATGCACATTAATAAGAAAAGTATTTAATAGTTTATTGTTAGTATAATCTAATAATAATAAAATTAAGTGAATGCAGGACTGAAAGGTGCAACAATTATTGTATACTTAATAAGAAATGACTATATACACTCTTTTGGGTGTTAATTGTTTTTTTCCAAATTTCCTTCATTTCACTTTTTAATTCTAATTTCTAATATGTTACTTCTGCTGTATTAGTTTTGTTTTAATTAAATTATGTATAGGGCTGATTTAAACTTATATTTAGGCTTCAGTGCGCTTCTAAAATACAGTGCTTCATTAAGCAGCCTAATGAAAATATATTGCCTGTGGTGTTAAATGCTTTATCATGCATTTATTAAGATACGTCCAGGCTTACACATTTTAACAGTGCACTTCACATATGTCCTAGAGACCTCTGTATACAATTGAAAAAGTAGTCTAATTCAAGCGTTTACATCAGTGGTCTTAAACTCAATTCCTGGAGGGCTGCAGATCTAGCTTTAGCTTCAACCACCTCCAACTTACATCTGCTTAACAGTCTCTAGTAGTCTTGAACATATTGATTAGTTGGATCAGCTGTGGTTGATTAGGGTTGGAGCAAAACTGCAGCGCTGCAGCCCTCCAGGAATAGAGTTTGAGACCCATGGTTTACGTATTCATTTTTATACTGTTGGATTGGATTAGAAAAGGAATTAACTACTCCTTCAAATACAATAAAATTTTAATTTGGATCAAATTCTGTCGGATCAATTAAGTCGGATGCTTTAAATCACGGGTGCCCAAACTCGGTCCTGGAGGGGTGATGTGCTGCAGATTTTAGCTCCAACTTGCTTCAACACACCTGCACTAGTGTTTCTAGAAAAACTAGTAGGAGCTTAATTAGCCAGCACAGGTGGGTCTGATTGGGGCTGGAACTAAACATTGCAGGACCCCAGCCCCTTAGGACTGAGTTTGGGTACTCCTGCTTTAGAATATGATTACACAGTCAATCTGATTACACATGTATTATTTGTGTTCATGTACACATAACCAGTGTTTCAGATGTTTTCCACAGTGTTGAGGAGAATGGTGGCACTCAAAACCATTTTAGGCTTGTTTCAGAGAGCCCTTTAAATAAATCAAACATACCCTAATGGATGTTTAGTGGTCAGCTAAACTATTTTTCGGTGAATCGCATTTTCTCTAGTTCGTATGGCACTAAAAACTTTTCTGAACTGCTGTTGTTGAAACTAGTGATGGCTGCTTTTGAAGCACTGCATCATGAAGCTTCAAAATCTTTACAAATCTTTTTACGAATCTTTTTTTTTTATCAGATCAGTGGTTCAGAGTATGTATCAAATTGGCAAGGTCATGTGATTTCAGTAAAGGAGGCTTTGTTATGTCATAACTGTTTGAAAAAATGGTTTACGTTTTTTCAATTGTTTTCCACTGGGGTGGGGCAATGCAATCCACTTGTTAAGTTGTGCTATATGAAATACTGTTTCCGTGTCCAAGCTGCTCTTTATTTACATTGCGAAAATATTCATTTATGACCACTTTGTAGTCCTATTACACATTTTAATTTTATATAAAATCATGGTGTACACAACAGTCTCTGGACCTGCTACATCACAAACATCAATATTTTAAAAATTTATAAAATTTATATATCTATATATATAACCCCCTTTGAATCTATATCTATATATATATTTCCCAAATGTTGTTTAACAGAGCAAGGAAATTTTCACACTATGTATAATAATATTTTTTCTTCTGGAGAAAGTCTTATTTGTTTTATTTCGGCTACAATAAAAGCAGTTTTAAATTTTTTAAACACCATTTTAAAGACGAAATTATTATCCCCTTTAAGCTATATTTTTCGATAGTCTACAGAACAAACCATCGTTATCCAATAACTTGCCTAATTACCCTAACCTGCCTAGTTAACCTAATGAACTTAGTAAAGCCTTTAAATGTTACTTTAAGCTGCATAGAAGTGTCTTGAAAAATATCTAGTCAAATATTATTTACTTTCATTCATTCATTCATTCATTCATTCATTCATTCATTCATTTATTCATTCATTCATTCATTCATTCATTCATTCATTCATTCATTCATTTTCTTGTTGGCCTTGTCCCTTTATTAATCTAAGGGTCGCCACAGCAAAATGAACCGCCAACTTATCCAGCAAGTTTTTACCCAGAGAATGCCCTTCCAGCTGCCACCCATCTCAGGGAAATTACTGTCATCATGGCAAAAATAAAAGAAATCAGTTATTAGAAATGAGTTATTAAAACTATTATGATTAGAAATGTGTTAAAAAAAATCTGTAAAACTTTATAATAACTACACACTATAAATCATTTATTAAGCATTCGCATCTAGTGAATTCATTATCTGTTAAGTATTGCATTATTTACAAACCAGTTGTATTTAAGAGAAGTTGGTGGTTTTTAAAGATCATTCAGAATGAGTTAGTAAATGATTAATAAACTATTGAAATCAACATTTATATAACATTTATATAACATTTATATATTTTATTATTCAGGCAATAACTGGTTTGCTTAAATTACTGGTTTGTAAATAATGCAATACTTAATTTAGTAATAAAAAATAAATCATTAACAAAGTATGAAAATACAATTATTAAGCACATTATACATGTGGTTGTAAGTCAAGAATACAGCATTTGTAGCTGCAGTTGTAAACTGCTTACTAACGTTTATTAATGTAGAGTCAATGCTTAACAGATAATGAATTCACTAGATGCGAACGCTCAATAAATGGTTTATAGTGTGTAGTTATTATAAAGTGTTACCAAAAAATCTTCTCTCCAATAAACATAAATTGGGGAAAAAATAAACAGAGGGGCTAATAATTCTGACTTCAACTGTATATTGCAATCATGATTTTCGTTTTATATAAATATGTTATTACCATTTGTTGAGTCTCCCCATACAGTTTGATAAAACGGTTGGACCCGGAAGCCGTTTTGAGTGACGTCACACTTAACAAGCAGATATTATAAAATTTACTTGAATCACAGGGGTTCATTCAGATTGCCCCCCAGTATTGAATTACTAAACAGTTTTTCTATTTTTTTCCAGCTCTCAGATCAGCTTTGAGTTTGTGGACATCTTAATGAGACTTTAATGAATTTTGTCAAATTCAAAGGAATAATAGTATATTTTCTTATGTTGGCCCGTTTTGCAGAGCCCACAATAGAATCGAACAAACATTATAAGTTATATAATAAATTATGAGGTATACTTTCAATTTAAAGTTCACAATTCCAATGCATGTTATGCCTGCATGTTTTGTTGCATTTAAACATATCTGTTGTGTTAGTGAAGTGTTGTTAGTGAGACCAGCAGGGGGTGCTCAACCTGTGGTCTGTGTGGGTCCTAACCCCCAATATATTGATGGGGACACTATGCTGCTCAGTGAGTGCCGTCTTTCAGGTGAGACATTAAACCGAGATCCTGACTCTCTGTGGTCGTTAAAAACCCCAGGATGTCCTTCAAAAAGAGTAGGGGTTTAACCCTGGCATCCTGGTCAAATTTTCCCACTAGCCTATGTCCTTTATGGCCTCCTAACCATCCCCATATAATAATTGGCTTCATCACTCTGTCTCCTCTCCACCAATGGTGTGCAGTCTGGTTCAATATGGTTGCCATTGCATCATCCAGGTGGATGCTGCACACAGGTGGTGGATGAAGAGATTTCCCCATAAAAATGTGTAAAGCGAATTGAGTGACCAGTAAATCACTATATAAATGTAAGGAATTTATTATTATTATTATTATTATTATTATTATTATTATTATTATTATATTGGATATAATAATATTTTCCCATCACTAGTTCAAACAAGTAGCACCATTTCATTACAACCTTTAATGTATCTCATGCGCAACAAAATGTCATCATTTATCAGTTTTGGCATTCAGTAGTTTCGCCAGCATAACAATTTTGTCGTACTAGAAATGTGACCAATTAGTCTGGAGCCCTGAAAAATAAACAACCCCAGCCAAAGTAGACATGGTTTACCTGTATGGTGTTCTCCTGTAGGTTGAGGTATCGTGTGTTGTTCGATATATTGTCGGGCACCTCTTCTAAGTGTTGTCTTGCGCAAATCACTCGACTAGCTTGATTGGAACAGCTGCACACCGCAGGACAGGTGGAGGCGGCCCCCACTGCCTCTTGACCTGGGAGGAGGAGCCGCAACAGCAGCTGGACCAATAAGAGGAGGAGGGGGGAGGGACTAGGAAGGCTGGTCACCGTGGTGATGCGCATGGCAACTGGGTCATGACCCTTCCTTTATTCCAAAGAGGATGATAGGCTTATTCCAGTGTCTTTCGTATGACGTCTCTTTAATAGATGTCACTCCTGCATTTTTTTTTTAGCAGAAATCCTCCATCTCCTTGGTCGGTGGCTTATCTTGTCCTTGCTTATTTTTTTTTTTATATGGATACAATTACATAAGTTGTGTCGCCTTAGCCTTAACAACTCCTCTTCTTTGACAGGCCTCTTTGTGATGAATACATGTTTTACTGCAAAGGAGAAACAAAGAAGAAAGCCATGTTTTGTTACTCTTACAAAGACAGATATTTGAGGTATAATAACATAATTGCAATCAAATGAATGTTCAAGGAAATGAATGCATCAAGTTGGCAGGAACAAAATGGTTTTTAGGGATGCAGAGACTAAAGACGTTTCATATGCAGTGCTACTGTACATTAGAAATGCACGCAGGTTCTCTGTCTGTGCGCGTTAATGATCCTCTTGATATGTGTTCATGCTTTATGTAACCAGCAGACATGCAAAATATCATTTAAGTAGCTGCTGCATGCAAGGGTCAAAACAGGTGAATTGAGTAAACCTGTTGCCTATATATTTCATATCTGCAATAAACATGCATTTAGCTTGTATTAAAACTTATTTTATTCAAAGATTTAGTCCATCTGAGCACAAAATGGGAAAGTTGCATGGCCCTAAAACTTTGCTGTGCTTCTCGCAGTTCAAACTAGTGATGGCTGCGTTTGAAGCACTCCATCAAGAATCTTTACGAATCTTTTATTTTAGATCATTGATTCAGAGTGCGTATCAAATTGGCAAGGTCACGTGATTTCAGTAAAAGAGGCTTTGTTGCATCATAACTGTTTAGGAAATCTTGAAAATGGTTGAAAATCTGTGTAATACCACAAAATCCACATGAATCACATGGGTTTATTTAGATCAGAGGTTCCCAGATTTTTCAGCCTGTGACCCCTAAAATAACAATGCTAGTGATTTCCGACCCCCAAATTCCTCTGAGGTGGTTATAAATATACAAACGTTGTGCACACAATAATAGGCCTATATAAACATGAGCATATTGACAACACACAAAAAATGCAACAGTCTAACAACCATATCATTTTTATAGTCATTTATTAATTTAGTATTAACCTTAACTAAAGAAACTGGGGGAGAAGCAGTGGCGCAGTAGGTAGTGCTGTCGCCTCACAACAAGAAGGTCACTAGGTTGCTGGTTCAAGCCTCGGCTCAGTTGGAGTTTCTATGTGGAGTTTGCATGTTCTCCCTGCGTTCGCGTGGGTTTCCTTTGGGTGCTCCGGTTTCCCCCACAGTCCAAAGACATGTGGTACAGGTGAATTGGGTAGGTTAAATTGTCCGTAGTGTGTGTGAATGTGTGTGTGGATGTTTCACAGAGATGGGTTGCGGCTGGAAGGGCATCCGCTGCGTAAAAACTTGCTGAAAAAGTATAATAAAGGGACTAAGCCAAAAGAGACTGGCGTACACAATGTTTTCAACACAAGTCTATTCTTGGTTTGATTTTGAAGGCCACCAATCAAAGATCATTCTCAATCAGTTGTGGCCTGTATTTATTTTAAATGTATTTGATTGCCATAAAGGTGTTAGAACATTTATCCCGGTGCTATAAATTCAGTCTGCTGATGCTATTGCTGTGTTGTTAATCTAACGCAAACAAACTGATCCTATGAAAAAAAAAAATTTAAAGGCTGATGGATTTTCATTTGCATGTAGTTATTTTTTACTATTAAAAACTACTATTTTTTTGTCTTCTGTGGGTCGTAGCTAAAATATTCATACATACATTTTCTTTTCAGCTTAGTCCCTTTATTAATCAAGGGTCGCCACAGCCGAATGAACCGCCAACTTATCCAGCAATTTTATTTTTCCGCAGCGAATGCCCTTCCAGCCGCAACGCATCACTGGGAAACATCCATTCACACACACACTAAAGTCAGTTTTAGCATACCCAATTCACCTGTACCACATGTCTTCGGACTTGGGGAAACCGGAGCACCCAGAGGAAACACACACGAACACGGGGAGAACATGCAAACTCCACACAGAAACGCCAGCTGGCCCAGCCAAAGCTCTTTCTTGCTGTGAGGCGAACGTACTACCCACTGCGCCACCCAGTTTGGGAACCATTGATTTAGATCGCCCCCAGTGTCAAATCACTTACAGGTTTCATAATTTTTTTCATGATCTTGGATCAGCTTTAAGAGTTTGTGGACATTTTAACAAGACAATGGGCAAATGATTTTGCTTGAATATTTTGATCATTATTTTGTCATTGTGTCTATTTCAGCATCATCCATGAAATGAGACAATCTTCCTACTATAAAAGCATTTTCACCATTAAGTAACTACAGAATTTCAAAGAGAAAAATAAAATGTTTACAGAGGTAAATATCAGAAGACCAATTTTATTATTACAATGGCGAGAGAGGAGACCGCGAGTAATTAAAACGCTCCAACTGCTTAAAAAGCAGAGAACTGAGCACAATTCACTGCTTGTGAGTTTGCTGGACAGTCTTTCACTGACAGGGAAATACATCAGAACCCAGCTAGAAAAAAAATGAAAGCTGAAACTCTCTCTCTCTTTTTCTCACACTCTCTGTGGCCCCTTTGAACTGCTGGCGTGTTTGTAAGATAACATTTTATCGCCTATCTCTGCTGTTATAATGTTACTTGTGGATCCAGACATGAGTATGTCTGCAGTTTGAGATTTTTTCCACAACGTAGCCACCTTTAATGGATCAGCTGATTTAACATACGTGTCCATGTCACTGAACAGCACCAGAGCCGCAATGACCGTTAGAGCCAACGGCAGCATTTTCTGTTGAGCGTGTGACCAATCATAGGCGTTTAAGAACGCTTAAAAAGCAAATGGGATAATATTTATATTAGTTTATTTGCTCTAATTGTTCATGTTGTTCTGTGCATGTACTTTAATTTGACCTGCTCAAAGAAAACACTTTTTTGAATGTATCAAACAAAACTAAAGGTACAATAAATATATCTGACTGCTTGTATTAAATGACAAAAATGTATTACAAATAAAATAAATATAAATGATCAATTTTAACACAAAAATAATTTTGTTTCTAAGTAAAATATCAAACTGTGTATAGAAAGCATTGTCATAGCACTGTGATGCTCCGAGATATCGAGTTGAACCAAATTGATGGAATTGAATTAATAATCGTAACTGAACCGAACTATGAGACCAAAGTAGGTTCACACCCCTAATAAATAATTTATTAATCATTTAATTTATTGGTTAAATAATATGGAATATATATAGTTATGTTTTTTTTCTTTCTATGTAACCAATAATCTGGCAAAAATGTATCAAACTTGTAATGTGTGCTACAAAGCATTTAAGATTTATGCAAGACAGAATGGATCTGGCTACTCACCGTCACCAGATTTACACGCTTGGCTCCCTTGCGCTTTTCTACAATAACACTGCACGTGTGAACTATGGTACTAATCTTTATGTCCATAGGCTTGAGGCTCATGGGGTCTTAGAGCAGCATTAACTGGTGCAGTGTGCTTTGGCTGATGGATGGCTAATTCAAGCCGAACCCCATGCAAGAGGGCTCCGCTCCCTCTCACTGCAGGTTATTTAGACTCCAGTAACCTTATATAAGGGTATCCAATGAGACACGGGCCGTTACTAATGATGATGGTCCTAATTATCGTACTCTGACATGCATGTTCATTTAACACAGGATTTTACAGTCGGTGCAGTGAAAAATAAGAGAGGAAGGAAGACAAGAGATGAAGAGAGAGAGAGAGAGCAGGGCAGAAGGCAGAAGGATGGAGAGATTATTAAACTGATAGATGACTGTACAGCTGCAGGGATAGAAGAGAATCATCAACACTAATAGATGAATACTGAGACTGAGAGCAGGAGAGGAAGAGAGAGAGATCCAAGTGAAATGTGAACGCGGGACAGACAGTAAGGAACAGATATGGAGAGAGGGAAATGTTAAGAGGACGAGATAGCGGGCGAGGAAAGAGAGGAGAGCGAGATACATTAATATTAATAATTTCTCCCAGAGAGAGAAGCATGAGGAAGGCTTAATAGAAAGGGATGAATATGAAACAGACAGAGAGATAGGAGGAGAACAACAGCATAGGTGCATCAAAAACAACAAGAAAGATGGAAGAGATGCAGGAAAGACAACACAAGGGAATGAATATAAAACAGGCAGAGATAGAGAGAGAAGAGATAACCGAACTGGTGTGTGTGTGTGTGTGTGTGTGTGTGTGTGTGTGTGTGTGTGTGTGTGTGTGTGTGTGTGTGTGTGTGTGTGTGTGTGTGTGTGTGTGTGTGTGTGTGTGTGTGTGTGTGTGTGTGTGTGTGTGTGTGTGTGTGTGTGTGTGTGTGTGTGTGTGTGTGTGTATATGCGCATGTGGTGGTGATGTGATAAAATTAGTTTGAACAGTCAATGGAATATACATAGAGTTCAATGACAACACACACTTATGCATGTCTGTAAACACACTACATGCCTCGTTCACTAGTAACTGTGCAAGTATTCTTATTCATGTGTACGGGAAAGGTTACGTTTCTGCCAGACAAGTCTGTATGCACATAAATTTGCGTTATTTTATCTTATTTGTTGTTTATTTTTTTAAAGGTCACATTACACTTTAAAAACCAGGCATTACCTAAGACCCTGCAATGAATATGTGTCAGCAGATATGACCTCATATTCTTGTCTTTTCTTTAACACATAGAAATAACATCAAATAATGTTTAAAATATTTACTCCCCTTTATTCCCTTCTTTGTATTGAGTACAATAGTCTACTGGACAAATGTCTTTTAAAATATGAGAGTTTAAAGGTGCTGTATATAAGTTTTGGACTCTTCTGAAGCATAGAAATACCATAAAATGCAGAGATTTAAGAAACATGCCAAGTGAACATTCCTGTTTATCTGAAAAACAATGTCAGATATTCTGCTTTGAAAATGTGAGTTACAAGCCAGAACGTCTGTCTTTGTGTTGGTTCTTTTAACCCGCCCAATGCCACGTCAGCCAATTATATTTTAAAACTCAGGTTGCCTTGAAGGAAAACTGCATGTTTAAGTCAGAAACATTCTCAAAGCATGCGTCTGTTACTAAAATGTGACCTCCGGTGGACAGTAGCAGACTCCGAAATGAGAGACAGATTCAGAGTTCCACATGAGGTAATTAAATAGCAAATAATATAAATATTTCAAG